CACCAAGTGCCAAGGGTAACTCTAAAAAGCATCCAGAGACAAAAGACAGATTACCTACAACAGAAACAATAGAACTCAGAAAAGAATGGAATATTATTTTCAAAGTCCTGATTTTTGTGCCAAATGGCCAGACATGAAAAGGCCATCTGGTATTGAAACACATGACTCCTCATGGAGTGCTGAACAGCATTATCTCCTCCCAGCCACAATGTGTGACAGTACTCAAAGAGTATTACCAAGCAAGGAAGTTCATCTAAACTTCAGTGTCCAGAGCTTTCACTGAGGCTTCGAAATATATGCAGGAATTATTGAATCATTGACAAAGTAAGTGGCTGGAATCAATCTCCAGGTTCTTCCCATTCCTGGAGATCAGACTGATATCACATGGCTCAAAGACACAAACCTCTTCGGAGCATTTGAGATCTTGCTCCTTGGCATATGTCATCAGTGTGGCTCAAATAAACTCATAAAAATTCTCTCCAGGTTTGAATGTTTCTTACGTCAATAAGCTATGATTCTATGTTACTGACTCTTATTTCCACATCTCTCACCCTTCTTCTCACTCTTCAGAGTTTCAACTCTCTACCTAAAGCTCCATAAGTCCAAAATTAAATACAAGGGTAGGCAATGTAAGTTAAAAATGTATTTTCTTGAATCATATTGTCTGGGTTCAAAGTCTGATTGTGCTTCTCTGTAGCTGTAAAAACTTGGACAAGTTACTTAAGCTCTCTGTGCCTTAATTTCTTCATCTGTAAAATGGAGGTAATGAAAGTACCTATTTCATTACCCTATTGTGAGGGTTAAAGAGTTAATACAAAATACTAGGATAGGCCTGGTATAAAAACTCAGTAAATATTAGCTGTTATTATTATCACTTACCCTTTCTTGCATAAATCCTGTTCTTCAGGCTGTATTTTCTTTCTCAGTTAATGGCAGCAACATCAGCTCAATCACCCATACTAAAATCCTCAGTCACCTTCTAACCTCTTTCTACATTCAGTTATGCTCTATATAATCAGTTTCCACCAACTACATAAACGTTTAGTCTTCCATTTTTTCCCCCTTTGCTGCTGCCCAAGTCCAGAGCTTCATTATCTTTAACCTGAATTATTCCAACAGCTCTTCTCTACTGAAATGCCTGCCTTCGATCTTTACGCACCTGTTGCCTTACAGCTTCGTCTTTGACTGCACCCCCCCTTCACCAACCCCTGACCTAATGAGGTCACGAGGGAGGGTCTCAGAATGCTGAGACCAGGTGGAATGATACTGGTAAATCTTCCTCAAGTGAGTGTTTCCGAATGCCGAGACCCGATGGAATGATGTCGGTTATCTCCCTTATCTTTATGGCTGTGGTACGCCATCCTGGGAGTTGTGTGTGTGGGAGTATGAAGGCACAGCACTGTGTTGGAATACAATGGGGCAGGTTGATGGAAAAGAGCTATAAAGCACGTATCACATGGACTTTAGAATAAACAAGCTTCACTTCTTTGAAGTTTCTCAATAAAAGCTACACGTTGGCCCGATTTGGGGCTCAGTCCCAGAGAGGCTGCAGCCCCTTGGCCCCGCTTGAACTCTATACTTGACTCTTGTGTTTCTTTAACCCTGAGCCGCCTCTCTCGCTCCCCACCACCCTTGCTGCGCGTGACGCGGCATCTGGTGCCCTAACGTGGAGGCACAAATAGGGAAGGAAGACTCAGAGTCTAAGAAAACAGGTTTCACAGCAAAGGGCCTGGAAAGGCATCGCGACAACTACACGGTAGGGAAGATCCCAGAGAATTTAATCAGGGTAAAAGAGGAATTAACTAAACTTTTGTGTGGAAGAGTGTGAATGTGTGAATGATTGATTATAGTTCCACGGCTTCGGCTACGAAACTTGCTTGAGCCCCAATCTGCAATTCTGTGGTTACGTCGAAAGGCAAAACAGTGACTTGGCAACGTCAACCAGATCCGGGGTTTATACAGGT